AATTTAATTTTAATATTTTTTAAAATAAATGATCAATAATTAAAAATAATCTAATACAATGATATAAATTATTTATCATAAATATAAAATATAATTTATATGTTAAAAAATATCTATTCATACAAATTTTTAATATAATTTATATATTTAAATATAATATTTGAATTATTTTAAAATGTTAATTTATTCATGAAATTATTTTAAATTTAAATTTAAATTCAAATTATTATTTTATTAATTACAAGTTTTAAATTCTAATTAACAACAATTTTAATAAAATATAATAATTCGACTATTATAGTTTTAATTATCAAACATTTTAATGAAATATAATAATCTGACTATATACTTGATTTATTGATTATATATTTTATTTGCTTTTGATGTAATTTATATGACATTTCATGAGATAGATATTTTGAATATCTTAGTTAAAAGTTACCTAATCTACTTTATAAAATACATCGGTTTAATTTGAATTTTTCAACATTCATAACTCATGCATTCTTTACCTCATATTAACATCGACTCCTTATTAATGCTATCATAAATAAACTATTATTATTTTAAATTGGAATATTATTTTCAATCAACCAAAATAAATTGGCCTACTTCAATTACCAATCAAAGTAAAGGCAAACTTAAAAGTTCATGTTAAAAATTGGATGAAGATAAAACAAATACGGAAAATTATGAATATAAACCAGAAAACAACATGCATTTGTCTACTGTTTAATCAAGAAAACTTTCTTACTTATTCTAAAAAGGCAAAAAATATTACTTTCCTTAATTTTTGCCTTTTATATTTCTTTCTTGATACTTGCACGAAAGACTACATATTTCTTTGGTCATCATCTCATGGATTGAAATCTGATGGAAAGATAAAGGCAATGTCATTTTGAAATTAGAGAGCTCCCAACTCACATCTTGCATTGATGGCCTGAACTTTGGTTTGGAACACAAACATGCTAATGCTATAGTTACCACAAGCATTATATTTTGAGCGTCTTTTCGAAAGTTAGGAAGAGGAAGACGTGTATCTAAGAGGTCCTTCAACAACATGTTTTGAGTAGTTGAATTGGATAAAGATGAGATTAGCTCTTTAGGATGTCTTCCCATTAATGTTTCAAGAGCCACAACTCCAAAACTATAAACATCCCATTTTTCTGTGACATTCAATGTATAAGCAAGCTCTGTAATGCACCAAGAAAGTTAAATTCTTAAACAATACCATTATATATATATTCCAGGAATTCATAAAGATTTTATTTTTATAGAAAATAGCACTTCACCTGGGGCAATGTAGCCATATGTGCCAGCTACCAAGGTTTGATTTGAGGAATCAGGATCAAGGAGCCTGGCTGTGCCAAAGTCTGAAACAGTAGCCTCTAATTGTGAGTTTAATAGAACATTGCTACTTGTTACATCTCGATGAACAATGGGTGGGGTACAATCATGATGCATGTAGGACAAAGCACATGCCATTTCTTTGATGACATTCACCCTCTTGCTCCAATTTAACTCCTCAGCTTCCACATCATTATTCAAGATTGAAAATAAGCTACCTCTTTCCATATATTGATAGACAAGAAACATGCAACGATTGTGGAGGCAAAAGCCATGAAGCTTTACGATGTTTCTGTGACGAATTTTTGTTAACATCTTGACCTCATTGCAAAAGCTTTTGACAAAAGATGTATTATGAGATTCCATTTGGTGAAGTTTCTTCAATGCAACAATTTTGCCACTCGGCAATTGGGCTCTATAAACACTGCCATATGCACCGGTCCCAATGCAATACTTGATGTCAAAGTCTTCAGTTGCTTCAATGATGTCATCAAATGCAATTTTACCATCATAGTTCCATACAGAAAACAAGTCTCCATTTTTTGTTGATATTCCTTCAAGTTTGGTCTTAAATTTGCTTCTTGTGAAATATAATGCTGTAAGAATTACCAAAAGAATGAAGCAAACGATAGGAATAACAATTAACAAGGAAGTCTTGCCTTTTCTAGTTCCAGGATTGGTTTGGTGGGTAACATTGTGACTATTAATGTGGCAAGATGTGAAGTTTGGCATGTGGTAACCAATTAACGAGTCTACCTTAAAATAACAATAGTCTGGTAACTCTAAGTTTGACTCAAGGTCTTGTGAGAAGTCAAAGGAATTATATGAAAGATTTACGTATGATAAATTAGCAAGTTCCTTGTGTAATTTACCTGTGAAATTGTTATAGCTAATATCCAAACTATCTAACATGGAATATGTTTCCCAGAGATATGGAACTTCACCATTCAAAAAATTATGGCTAAGGTTGAGGTTATGAACATGATTTATTTGGGAAGTGATGGTGCCATTTAATAAGTTGTGGCTTAAATCCACTTTTTTGATATGTGGGCATTGGAGGATTGGAGGTGGGATGGATCCTGTAAGATTGTTGTGGGAAAGGTCTATGTCTAAGAGTCTGGTGGCTTTTCCAATCTCTGAAGGTATTGAACCAAAAAGAGAGTTACGTGATAGATTTAATAATTTTAACAGTGTCAAGTTTCCTAACTCTCTAGGTATGGAATGGGTAAGTTGGTTAGAGTCAAGGAAGAGATGTGTCAAATTCCTGGATTGACCCAATGTAGATGGGATTGAACCCGTTAGTGAATTATTATAGAGAAATAATCCTTTCAATTGGGTCAAATTAGCAAGCTGTAGTGGTATTGAACCTGTAATTGGGTGAAAAAGCAAGAAAGAGATGTGTGAGATTATGATTTTGAAGGGATAGTGTAATAAAGAGTTTTGCAAGTGGTTGAAGCAATAACTTACCGTGAAGACAATTGCTGGACAGGTCAAGATAATTAAGGTTTGTAAGTGTGCTTATTTCTTCAGGGATCCTTCCCCTAAGACCCATTCCATCTAAATATAGAATCTGTAAATTGGGGAAGGCAGAGAGGTTCAAGTTCTGAATCCGCAGCAATTCTTGTGATTGAATGACCAAAGGTGTGTAAATCTCAGTCACACTTCCAGCTTCATTACAAAGGATTCCCTCCCAATTGGCACAATGATTTGAGATATTTCGGTAATGATTCCACCACCCGCTCTTGAGCAAAGCCTGTCTTTCCTCATTGATGGTAGCAATAATAAGAGATGGTAGCATCACAATTAGGAAACACCAAACACACTTTTCCATACTTTATATTCCCTCACTTTGTTATTCGCCCCTATTGGAACTAATTTGTATATATAATAATAATAATCAATGGACAATCACGCGGAAACTTTCTTTCAACCATTTTCCAGTGGTTTGAATTGGCCAAAGGAGTATATAATTCTGAAATGATGGGTTGTGGAAAGATACAATGAAGGTGTGTGGTATGTATTCTTAATCAGAAAGTGAGACTTCACTCTCATGACTAGTATATACATACAATAGGAGACTCCAAAGTTTCAACGTCACCCTTTCTACACGGGCATCCATGTATGTGGAATTATTCTACATATCAATTTCAGCATATTAATTTTCCCACTTATCACAGACATCCAAGATACAAAAATTTCCACAAAGGAATTTAATTATCAAGTCATTCATAGGTTGAATTAAGGGGTTAAGTGTGTGGAAAGTAGAATGAATATTGTTCAATGCTAGCTATAGACTCTGACTGGCATAAATACTCTCATGCGTTTCCTACAAGTTGTTCTTCCTTCTATATATCATTCATTCCATGTCTTATTATTCCAATCATTCTTCTGTTCACACATTGTAGACTTTTAGCCTTGACTTGAGCACTTTGAAGGTCATTTGTGATGATAAGTGTGCATACTGCCAAACTCTGCAACCCTTAACGTAACGCTCACTCCTACCTATTTTCTCAACTTAGAAGACACAACTCACCATGACCTACTCTATGCATGTGCAAGACTCAAGAAAATTCAGCAACTGGTGCATCATCCAAGTTGCTACATATATCTCTTTTGTCCCTCTTTCTCTCTCACACACTCTCTCAAGTTCCCTTTGCCACTCTCCTTGAACATTTGGGTGCTAATTTGCAATATCTCAACCTCAGTTCCACCAACATTGTTGGTGATGAATATTCCACCTAGTATTGGAATGTTAAACTAACCGAGACAGCTTCAACTTTATTATTTCTTAATGAATAGCAGTGTTGTTGTTGAGATTGATAACTTGTCCAACATTTAGTACTCAGACTTGTCCTCTAACTTCTTGTTTCCTAAATGGAAGTTGCCTTTGGAACTTGACCAACTTGGGCAAATTCAAGGTATAGCACCAACTTGGATGGGGGAACTTGACCAATTTCACCACAGTTGGAGATATGGCGGCTTTTAGAAAAGCTGTTGATAGGCTCTTTTCTGCCCATGCTTGTAAATATGGTTCAATAAGAAGGAAAGAAGAAGAATGAGATATAGTTGCTTGAGAGTGACTCTGTTTATGCAGCAGCCACTGTTACTCCAGCCATTGCAGTGTCTTCTGCACCACCACCACCACCAACCAATGCTGAGAAAGAGGATGTGAATGTGATGGGTGGTGCACATGAACTGCAAAATTCTGGAACCCTTAACACAAACCTCACTGCCCCTAATGCCTTTAGAAGAGACAACTGGGTCAACATGCAAACTATGCCAGACTCTAGAAAGTCGGCTACTGATATTAACATATCTTTGCCTGATAGTTAAGTTGATCATCAACCTCAACTACTCTTGCTGACAACATTATTCATGACTCAGCTCTTCCATTTCATGCTTACAGTGTTCTCTCTCTTATCTAGAGATTGTTTCAAACATGTCTCATGTCTATTACCATAGGATGTAGTTTCAGGGTTGTAAGTTGCAGCTAGGTAGAGTATCTCATATGTTAATCGGCTGATTAATTAGGTAGATGCTGCACTCTGCAGTATTATGAGTAGGTTAATTCGGATGTGATGCAAACTTGTTTGCCTATTTATTTATGACTGAATTTGTTCAAGAATTTTCCTTTTATTTTGTATTTTGTTTTTTTTTCATTTGGTATGTTGAGATTTTAGCCGTGAATGTTGTGCTTCAAAGGGACAAGAGAAAAAGGTATGAATGATGAATGCAAGGCCACACAAGAAAGGATATACAAAATAGTTGTATACATACTTAATACAAAAAAAGTAACTATTATATACAAAATAAACCTAGTCGTCGGTCAGACATTTATACAAGACCTAGCTACATCAGGATAGCAACATCCAAAAGAGAGCCACTTTTGATATGATTCACCATCGAACAACACCACTTGACCCATTAATCATGTCCTGCTTTTGTACCAAGATGATCATACCAATCCTAAATCACAAGGGAAAACATAGGATAAACTTGTGATACAAAAATAACTTCATACAACAGCATGCAACGCAACATAAACGACTTAAAATAAATATCATTCATTACATCATATCAAGTTTTGTCAAATAACTTAAGGCACTCAAACAATGTGTACAAATAGGCAACTTCATTATATATACAATATAACACAATCATTAAACAATATTACACTCACAACTTTCATCAGATAGCTACCTCTACATCTTTACCCATTCAACTTAACCACTTTCAGTATGCACATATACATATTATTGGACAAGATGTACATTTATATCATCAATACACCACAAACAACATAGAACAACACAAAAACTCATTCGATCCACCTCAACACCTTCAATAGAACAACATAATCTACATACATATAAATATAACTGATGCATTGTCACGGATATCAACTATGGAGATCTTCTACAACTAAGGTGAGCAGTTTAAGTGACTTGACCCTATTGAATCATAATGACTGGTATAAAACCAAAAATAGCTTCTAACATTAGGGTCAGATACATTGACCAACATTAATTAAGGCCAGAAACAACGGCTATCACAAGGCTAGAAATAATGACTAACATAAGCTAGATTGATTTCTTATGTTTCACCACTTAAACTAGAAAGTATGATATTATGTCAAGGTAGAACATTTTGGTATGAGCCTACTATGACATTAGCTTGCAACACTGCCCACTATGGGATTAGTCCATTGACTACCCTCCAAATATCATAATCCCTCCAATACTCGATTAGCGACTAAGTCCTTGACTTTGTACTTGACTTGGTTGGTCACTCATAATCACTATAGCTCGACTTTGCTTCTATATTATGGTCACTTTATACACATCTGTTTCGACCTTGCCCACATACGGATACTACATAGAATCTAGATGAGACAACTGAAAATAGCGTATTTATTTAGAAGCCAACTTACTTACTGAAAAGTTTAACATAATGTACATTCGCACAATAAGATTCTAAAGTTTGAAAACATCTTTAAGTATTTTCTATTTTCTATGTATCTAAACATAAACATGTATCACAATCACATACCTAATAACCGAACAACTTAACAACTTATCATTATACATCATTACAACTTAAAATTCATTCATCTTAAGTAGGGATGAGAATAGGTCAGGCCTTAAACAGGGACCTATGACTTGACTTCTTGAAAGTCTGGTCTGGCTGACTTGTTTAATAAAAAGGTAAAGTTTATACTTTTAAAAAAGTCTATTTATATAAAAAAGTCAGGTTTCAGCTTATAGAAAAATCTATTAAACCTGATAAGTCAGCCTATTTATCTATATAAAATAATAAAAATAATATATATAATTAAAAATATAAATAAACAAATAAATTTATAAAAAATAAATAAATTATCAATCAACAAAAAATAATTTAATTTTTCTCATATATTTCTTGTAAAATTTAAATTTTAATAATATTGAGTAAACTATATTTTAAAAATAATTTTGTTGTTTTTTAAAAATTAAGTTTATTGACCTAATTAATATTAATAATTTAAATAGTTTTTTAAATAGATTACTAGGTCATGTCAAGCTTTAAAAAGGTCAGAACAGACTTATAAAAAAAATATGATAGATAATGGGTCAAACTCATACTTTAATTTTGCAGAATAAGCCCAATCTATATATTCAAAGTCTGGCTTGACCTGCCCTATTCCCATTAGTAATCTTACGTCTTAATCATACAACATATAACATCATATCAACTTACTTCTTTATAACTTAATCATCTTTCAACATATATATCAACTCTCAATTTAACGACAATAATAAACACAACATTTTGTATCCAAAAACTTTACAATTTTCAACTTTAACAACTATCAACATCCATCTTACAACTATAACATAATTTAAAGCATCAAGGAAATATAGCAACTTAACATCAAGATAACTTTACAACTTTAGGCATATATCAATGGAAGCAACATCTTGACAAACAACTGAAAATATCCAAAGAACTTAACAACTAAATTAACTTCAAACAACTAAATACTTGAAACACAACTTCCAACAACTAGTACAACTTACAACATGTATAGTAATCTCAACATAACAACTTCAATCACAATGTAAACAACTTCAAACATCCTTATACATCATCATCCATTTCAACATTCATCATATAATAACTTAAAACATCATATATTACCATATGCTATAAGGGAATTAACACATTATTTTCAACATATAATCATCAATTAACACACAACAACAACTTCCATATAACACAACACAATTGGAGTTCTACTACTCCAGTCAAACTCATCTTTATCTCATATGAAAGCTAAAAAAGTTATCTACAACTCTTATGAAGACTTCAAGTTCTAACTCCATCATATACTATACTGAAAATTACAAAAAACATAATAGTTTGCCTAATTGCTAACAACTTAACCTTTGTTCATTATAAAGGTTATAACTGAAGTTCTAAACCTTTTTTTTAGGTGATTTCAAAATCATTGGAAAACTAACATTTAAGGCTATAACTTTTATGAAGATAATAAAGTTTGATTTAGAAAGCACCAAATCGCTTAGCAGATTTCTTCCAAAAATACCTCTAATTTTGATCTCCAATGCCGCTCAATCAATTCAAAATGGTTCGACAGTTTCCTTCCAGAAACACCCCCATTTATCATCTCTAAATCCACTTATTCGTTTCAAAATTGCTTACTCGTTTTATAATAGAGATTATCTTTGTTTTTCATGATTTTGGGGTTTCCAAATCTCTTTATTCCATCTAAAACTCACCTACAAGCTCCAAACTCGAATATAAACCTCATCTAAACAAGAAGAATTTGGGTACAAAATCAAGATTCCCCCCACCCAAAATCCCAACTACCTCAAAAATCTCCAAGAAACCAAGAACATTAAGAATAAAAAAAAAACATTCATCCTTTCATACATCTTTACACAACATTCAACAACAAACTTCCCTTACCTCGTTGATGATCTAGAATTGACAATAGGAATGGAGAAGATGACGAACTTTGTATGATTTCAACTTGGAGACTCTTAACTTTGGGATTTCAAACCACCCGCATCAACTAAATTGAATCAACCGCGAGAAGTGAGGAAGAAATGAATTTTAGTGAAAAAATGGAGGGAGGATTATAGAAAAACTCTCTTTAGTCTTTCTTTAACGATTTATGAAAAATTGAAGTTATGAACCCCTTTTTTTTAAAAAAATAGATATAAACCCCTTATAAACTTAAACTAATTTAACTAAAAATAATATTCTACTAAACCACACCACTTACAATATACATCTTAAATATTAGTGTTATAATTTTTTTTTACGTAAATTAAAATAACTATTATATCTGATTAATATTTAATTAATTATATTAAATAAATATTGTAATCAAAATGAAAAAGAAAATTTATATTTTTTCAACTAGAAAAGGTGTTGAAACCTTTCTGTTTGTTTTTATCTAGCATTCTTCACTAGCACTGCACTGCATTTTTTACTGGATGCATTCACCACTGGGCACCGTTACCGCAACGTCGTCGTCACCGTGACCGTACTGCAACCACCGCACTGCTCTTCTGGTTTCGCCGTACTTTAGTTCTCCCTTTCTCTCCCATTCCTCTTTTGGTGCTTATTCACTTGGTGCTTTGTCATTGCAATATATAATTTATCTTGTTTTAAATTCTATATATGTTCTGCATACGTCAAAGAAGAAGACAAGCTCTCTTTTTCCTGATTCTTCTCTCTATTAGGGTTTATATGTTCTGTTCATATTTGCATATTATCTAAAATCACCTCTACTAGGGTTCATTTTTGTGTGTTTTTGTGTATAGCTCTCGGAGTACCAGATTATTGAGATAGCTGAGAATGTTTGTAATCTGAAAAAGGCAGAATAGGATTGGATATTGCGCATTGATATTGTGGAGAATGAAGATAGGTTGGCTGGAGGTAAGATGATTCAACTTGTTTGATGAAGATAGGTTGCGCATTGATATTGTTTGATGGATACCTTGTTCTTGAGTTCAAACATGTACCTTTCCTTTTGAATATAGTCCCAGATTCCCATGAATATTGTCAAGAAGAAAGCATTTATGTTTTCTGCAGCCTTGAATTGCATCTCACTTTCCCTCTCTATGAACTGCTTTCTACATTAGAATTTTGGAAACTAGTTAGCTCATAGTTTTATAATTTGAAACCTTTCTATTTGTTTTTATCTAGCTTGGAACATCGAGGTTAAGTATGATATAGATGAATAATAAAATATAAATGCATTAATATTTGATGTTGATTTTGTGTCAATAAAGAGGAGCAAATTCCAACTTTAATTTTGGGCCACAAATAAAATTGACACCTCCTTTTAAGTTTGATGCTTAGTAAGATATATGGCTCATTTGCTGTTGTAGTTCTTTCACAATTGTGGTATGGTTAATCCATGCACCATGATCAATTTGAACAGTTATTCCTTTCTCTTTCTTCAATCTGCAGCATGCTCAAAACACTTGAAAGGTACCAAAAGTGCAGTGGAAGTTAGCAAACCAGCCAAAGAGCTTGAGGTAGTGATTAGTGAATGCCAAAGAAATAACCTCTCTTAGTAATTTCAGTTAGGAAAGTCTTATTAATTCCTAGAACTTTGATTGCCAACTTAAAATAATCTTATGTAAAATATGTTTTTCATTATATGTTCCAAAAGCCCCTTTGTTATTTTTCATTTGTCATTTGTTTTTGTATATAGCAGAGTAGCTACTGAGAGTACTTGAAGCTGAAAGGAAGATTTGAATCTCTTTGAAGGACTTAAAGGTGAATTTCACATAAAAGTATTTTCTTTTTTAAAATGCACAAAACCTTATAAAATTAGTAATAAAAAACTTATAACCTGACTGGCTTTCACTATCCTCTTTTAATTTTTTGTTGGTTAAGGTTTGAGAAAATTTTCTTGCATTTAGTTAGTTACAGTTATTGAATTTTTATATTTTTCAAAAATGGTTTGCCATTTGCATCAGCGATGTTTCATTACACCATGCACTTGTTCCATGCTTCAGGAACCTTCTAGGTGAAGATTTGGGCCCATTGAATTCCAAACAACTTGGGCAGCTTGAGAGGCAACTAGATTCATCTTTCAAGCAAGTGAGGTCCACAAAGGTAATAAAATATCAATGTTCATTTTTTCAGAAGATTATACTATATAGCAAGCTCATTAATGTGATACTTTATTGCATTTGCGTTCTTGATTGGCATATCGCAAACTACTGCAATCCCTGCATCAAACATAAAACTTGGCCACCTGTCATGTTGTGCTAATACAACAAAGATTAGAATTTTGTACTTTACACACTTTTTTTGAAGTAATCAAACAAAAGTATGATGTGTTGTGTGTGTGAAAGAGTTTGGAGAATAATTGCCATATGCACGAGTCATTTTTTTAGAGGTCTTGAAGGCAACAATGACCACAATACATGCAATCATAAACATGCAGTTGACCTCAGGAATATACACCTGGCCCCTGTGCGTAGTGGAAGTATGAACAACCTTAACTCTTGGGAAACAACACAAACTTTGTGCTTGGGATATTTCAGAAAATGCTCCTGAAATCATTGCTTGACTAGCTATGATAGCAGCAACAACAAAGGTTGGCCAATATAAGTGGCCTGCATGTTATTCACAGAAGAGGGAAAAAGGAAATATCAATTAAACCATTGATTAGATTATAAGAACAGTTAATGTATTAATGGATCTTTTGAATTTAAGCAATGTAGTATACATTCATAGAAAGTCTTAGATACTTTCCCTGGGAACATTCTTAGATATGTTGCTTGTCCAATATATGCAGTCAATACTGCAGGAAATGTTACACAAGAGAAGCTAATCTGCAGGAAATGAATAATTATTTTGTATGCTATCTTGCAGGTAAAGTCCTAAGTATCATGTCAATGCTTTCTAGTCCTAATGATGAATCTCATGCTAATGTTGAAGCTGCGGTAAGTTCGACCATTTTCTGATTTGATTTATTTCTGCAATCTTTTCTGCACTCCTATCTTACGATACTTATTTCCTATCTAATGTTTTGGTTCTTCCAACACCAGAAGATAACCAATTAAATGGTGGTAATGTAAGGATTGTTACGGTTTCTTTGCCAAGGGATGAACTAGATCAGCTGAAAGATAAGCTAGGGGAATGGGGCATACACTGATTGTTCTTGTTGTGATTCTGTTTTTTCAAAAAAGAAACTTGCTTATGTTTTGTGGATTGTTTTTCATTCGTTTAATTGTAAATTGCTATTATAGTTTAGTATGTATGCCAGTAATAATTTAATAATGATTTGGTTATCCATTCTTATAGGGTATTGGATTATTGCTATTTTCTTGCCAAAATTTCTTGCGACAATTTATTGTCTTCATGTGAAAATTATCCACAAAATGTTTCCAATGGATTTTTAAATCCATAAAAAATGAGTTAGCCATAAATGTTTTACCTGCGAAATATAATTTGCATAAAATTTATTTCTCAAAAACTCGCATGAAAATCCTCAACTAATAAGGAGAATTCTAGCAGTGATAGTAAGGTTTGTCATAATTTGTGGGACACAGGGTTGACTTGCTGCTCCCAGGTGACATGGACCATGTTTGTGGATTAAAAAGTTCATTTTTTTTTTGTTTTTTTTTATTTTTTATTTTATTATAATTTAAAATTTTGGTGTGCCATCAGTTTTAATTGGTCGAGTCTAACACCTCAGTTTTGGGTTAGTGTCCATAGAAGTTTTACTCATCCTTGGGCCTTCGGGTGTTTAAGACTTTGAGTTAATCTACAAAGCGGGAAGATTGAAGATGAACTAAGCAGCTTACGTATAACTCACCTTCTGCAACCTTAATTTCGCTAATTCACTCTCTCTACTGTTCCACCCATGGCTCGAAACAAGGTACCATTTTCACTTCACTTTTAGATACCCTTTTGGATTCCCCGACTTCACTTATCTGGGTTTAAGTTTTTCTTCAAATTCATTATCTTCCTTTCTATTATTTTAAATTTCATTACTTAATGCACAAATTTGTATTTGTTTTTTTTATTACCACAATTAAATTATGGAAAACAAAAGGAAGCATTGCTTTTGCTGCTTGATGTGGGCCCATCCATGCATTCTGTTCTTCCTGAAATTGAGAAAGTATGTTCCTTGCTTGTGCAGAAGAAGGTATTAATGATTCCCACCCTCTTTTCTATTCAAAATTTCATTTTTATTTGGTTATTTCAATTTTGTGTTTGGTTTTGTCAGTTGTGAGCTTCAATAACATGATCCTTTGTTTTTGTTTTTTGTTTTTTGTGCAGCTGATCTATAACAAATATGATGAAGTAGGAATAGTCTTATTTGGAACTGAAGGTGCTCTCTTTAATCTGTACCATGCAATGGGTCATGTTGGCTTATTGTTTATTGGTTTCAATTCATTGTTGATTTTGTTGTCATGTGATTATGAAGTTTTCCTTGCACTGAAAATGTTAGCTATCTGTAATGCAAAATTTGGGAGTAAGAACTAATAAATTATCATATCTTCCTTGATTTTCTTTTGCATCCTTGATTTTTGATTATCATATAAAAAATTGGGAGTAAGAACTAAATAGAATCTTTGCCCTGTTGGTTACACCTAGTCTTTTTCATTTTGATTTCCTGTTGTTAATGTTACTAACTTACTATTCATGCTGCTATGTGTCATGCGAAGAATTCTGCTTGTACTTTGCTACAATGTTATCAAATAACCGTTATGGCACTGCCACAAAGGTATAACGTGGCGTTTTTGAACCCCTCCACCATTCGCTATCCATTATTTCCCGTTATATAGTGGCGTCCGCCATATCTGCCACGGAACCTGCCATATCCGCCATGGTGCCTGCTATGTTCGCCATGGCCATGGCGCTCATGGCGGAATTCCTCCTCATCCTCTTTTTTTTTTTTCCCTCATCTTTTCTCTTGTGAGGCTCCTAAATTGTGAACAAACAACTATGGTGAGCCTTCTTAGGCCACCAGCCTCCAGCGACCTGAACCATAGCGGCCTAAGCTCCTGAAAGTTTTCTGGCCAACAAATTCGTGACCTATAAGAGTTCTTTTTGTTTTTTGTTTTTTCTTCTTCCTTCCATTTCTTTATTTTTCTGTTTTTTTCCATCTATTTTTCATTTCTTCAGATGTTCATCATCTCTTTCTCTCTCTTTTCTCTCTCTCTCTTATTTTGTGTGATTGTTCTTGTTCTTCATCTGTTCAATGTTTTTGTTCTCAGTTTATCAAAATTTTGGAATTTAGTTATCTATATTTTAGAATTTCATTATCATGTTCTGTTATGTTGTTTTCTATATTAAACCTATAATGTTGTTCCCAATTTTGTTTCACTTATAGCACAATGGTAAGCAGTAAGCACCCAACACTAAAGTCATGTATCCTAAAAGTCTGTTTTTTTATTATTTTATTTTTAATTTTTGGTTTTGTTTTTAATATATATATTATTTTTGTCCGCCATGGCATCCGCCATAGGCCGCCACGCCATCCGCCATATGTTTATGGTGGATTTTTGGCTTACCGCCATAGACCGTTATCCGTTATTGATAACCTTGCTTTGCTATTAATTTTCTTTAACTCCTATGTTGGAGTTTGATCAAGGGCCTCCCTCACCTGTGTTTGTGTTGACACTTTTTCAGACACTGACAATGAACTTACTTCAGAAGTGGGTGGGTATCAACATGTTGTGGTTTTGAAAGATATTAAAGTTGTGGATGGAGATATTGTTGAGGCTTTGCAACAACTGCCTCGAGGAAAGAATGACGGTGATTGTATCCATAAATTTCATGGTTCTATAATCTGGTACTTTTTACATGTTAATTGGTATCTTTTCTTTCGTAACTTATTTTGTCAAAAAGTTATATTATTTTGAGTTTTTTCCTGCATTAAAATATTCATATTGTTTGCTCTGGGCAAAAGTATAAGATGTCGGAGATTTGTGTTTCAGATTACACTGTATTACTTAATGCCATTTATCTTTCACTTAGTTTTTTCCTTTTAATAATTAGCTATATATATTTATATATAATTTTTTACAAAAACAAAACCTCTGTTTCCATTGTACAATTTACTTGCTTTTTTAAAAAGTAACTATTTGTTTTACTTAATTTTTGTCAATGATATTTTTTTTGCATGATTTGTATGATAAGTTTATATTTTTCTGAAAACCATTATGATTGTGCTATGATAATCAATGTATCTAATCAGTAGCAAAACTTTGTAAGATTAATTATTTAAATTTTCTAGAGGAAGTTGATCATTTCCTACTGCCTTAGATTTTACCTCATCAGCTAGCATTTACCCTTTTCTGTATGCCTTGACTTTGATGTTAGTTCTTGATGCTGTCATTGTTGCCATGGATATGTTGATTAAAAAATTTGGAGAAACAAACAAGGGAAAGAAACGTATGTGTCTTATTACAAATGCGCAGTATCCAATAAAAGAATCTTATAAAGGAACGAAGGAAGAGCAAGTTACCACCATTGCTAAACAAATGACCGTCCATGGTATGAGGATGGAAAGTATAATTCTGAGAGGAAAGCTTAGTCAAGATGCAAACAAGGGAATAATGGATGAGAATGATCGCCTGTTAAATATTTTTTCAAAGGAAACATCAACAAGATTGTTGTATGTGGACAATCCAATTTCTTTGTTTGGTGCTCTTAGAACAAGAAATATAACTCCAGTTACAGTTTTCAGGGGGGATATTGAATTCAGTCCAAAACTTAAAATTAAGGTGAGATCTAGGTGTGTGTGTGTGTGTGTATATATATATATATTTAATTTCCAGCCCATGTTGAATGTACTTTTTAAATGGTATTATACTCATTTATCCAGTAGAACCATAATAGTTGAAAAATCATGTCATTTTACTTGTTTTTCATTTTCCATGTCGTATTAATTTGATATTTAATGTTGTCATGCCATTGTAGAACCTTTTTCTCTACTGTAAATGATTATAAAATGTCAAATCAAAAGGCTCCAATTTTGAGATGTCCATGGACAATATGAATCTTTATCTCTGATTAAAGTTGAATATTTTGAGGTAATGTGATCGTGGAAGGGCATACCCAATGTTTTCTTTTGCCTCTGCATCTTAATATTTAACATCATATTTATATTTTTAATTTGATGCTGGAAAACATAATTTGTTTTGGAGTTATGTACATTATGATTTGTGCACATAATTTACAGTTGAAGATTACTTGTTACTGTGTCTTTATTTTTCTTTCTTCTCAGTCTGGGAAGTAGATGCTCCAAGCAAGTGGGTTATTTATCCAATGTGTGTTTCAAATAAAACATTCTTAGTAAAACAATGTACTTTGTTTTCGTGAAAACGTTAATCAGTTAATGATAATCAGGTAATGGTGTACAAGAAAACATCAGAAGAGAAATTTCCTTCTCTAAAGAAATATTCTGATAAGGCTCCTCCAAATGATAAACATGCTACACGTGATGTCAAGGTAGATTATGAGTACAAGAGTTCTGAAGATCCTGATAAAGTTGTCCCCCCAGACCGAAGAATTAAAGGTTATCCTTATGGGCCTCAAATAGTTCCCATATCCTCTGCTGAGTGGGAGGCTGTTAAGTTCAAACCGGAAAAAGGTGTGAAGCTTTTGGGATTTACTGAATCTAACAATGTACTTAGGTAAAATTCCATATGCTTTAAAAGAATATATTTGATTCAAATTTGCTAATGTAGATTTCCTGACTCTTTATTTTTCTTTTCTTCCTGTCTGAAAATGAAATGTTTGCTGAAGACACCATTACATGAAAGATGTATATGCTTTCCTACCTGAACCTGGAAATACAAAAGCCATGCTTGCACTTTCTGCACTAGCAAGGGCTATGAAGGAAATGAATAAGGTGGCAATATTACGTTGTGTCTGGAGACGGGGACAATCGAATGTTATCATTGGGGTCTTGACACCCAATTTATCTGATAGAGAAAATATTGTAGGTTTTTTCTCTGTTTCTTGTATTTTATATTGGTTTATCTGTATCGACTTCAATGTTGCCTCATCATTTTTATATATTTATTGATTATTGATTGTTGATTATGCTGTGCAGCCCGATTCATTTTACTTAAATGTACTACCTTTTGCCGAGGATGTTCGGGAATTTCAATTCCCTTCCTTCACTAATTTCCCAGCATCGTGGCTTCCAAATGAACTACAGCTAGAGGCTGCAGATAACTTAATTAAGACACTTGATCTTGCACCACATGGGCAACAGGAAGTTTTGCTACCTGACTTTACACCGAATCCAGTGTTAGAGGTACTTATTCTATCTACTCATGTTTCTAGTTTACTTTCTCGTTTCTGCTTGCTTATTCACTTATATTACCATTTTTTTTCTGTTTTATTCTCAGAAGGATTTGATGTTTCATTTTTTACATGGGATTTTTGAAGTTAAGTTGTGATCATTGCTTGAAATGTGAATCTGCATTTAGCATGTCTTGTTGGCTAGAGTTAGTACTGGATGCTTTAAGATGTCGAGAAGTATGCTTAATCCTTGTCTTGAATATTTAAAAGTTAATCATCTTATTACCCATTGTGAGAAAAATTGTATTGAGATGAAGTTGAAGGTGGAGATCTCTAATAAACTATCCTCTTCCGCCAAAAGAGTAATCATAGGATAAATGTAACAGATATATTTCTTCAATCTTTTCAGCGCTTTTATCGTTATCTTGAGCTGAAATCAAAGGATCCTGATGCAGCAGTACCTCCTCTTGATGACACACTCAAGAAAATTACAGAGCCTGATGGTGACCTGCTTTTGCAAAACAGAGCTGTAATAGGTTCATTTTGTAGGTCTTTTGAGCTAAAGGGAAATCCCTTGGTAAGAATGTGTGCTTTGCACCTTTTTGTTACGAACATGAGTTATGATTTACATTTGAAATATCTTGCTGTAGAAAAAGTCAAGGCGTTTGTTGGGAGGAAAGAGATCTTTTTCAAGTGTAGATGTTGAAGGAAACATTACTGCTCAACCTGCCAATCTCATTGAAAATGCATCTGTTAAAGTTGAGAAAATCGGGGACCTGACCCCTGTCCAAGATTTTGAAGCATTGATTTCACGCAGAGATGGTCCTGATTGGGTTGTAAAAGCGATTAATGAAATGAAAAATAAAATATTTGACCTGGTGGAGGACTCACATGAAGGTGATAACTATCCTAAAGCATTGGAGTGTTTAGTTGTGCTTCGCAAGGGTTGTATCCTTGAGCAGGTAATTGTCTCCCACTTCTTTCTGCATGCGGAAGATGGTTGGGACTTGGGATTTTTCTGTTCAACCTTTAATTTATCTGTTATCCCTCTATGAATTTCTTTCTTTTATCTGCCCTGACTTAACTAGTTAAATTGACAATTTTTTTTTTTGGTGAAGGAACCAAAACAATTCAACGATTTCCTTAGACATCTATGTAATTTCTGTCGAGAGAAAAAGCTTAATAGTTTCTGTGACTATCTTGCTTCAGAGGGACTCGCGTTGATCCCCAAAACAGAAGCTATAGACAGGTTTTTGTACTAATATCTCTTTCTCACAATTCAATACATATAAGTGTTTTTTTATTTTTTTATTTTTTATTTTTTGTTATTGGATCATAATTTGTTATTTGGTTTCTTTATACAGTGAAGTTACTGATGATGAAGCCAGAAGTTTCTTGGTTAAATCTGAATCAAAAGTTGTTTGATTTCTTCGCTATATGTGCTCAAATATCTGAGACCTTCATTTTTCTGCCTCTGTAACAGTAATGATTAGATGTCTTGTATAAACAACTGTTTTGGAAAAACTATTGTAATACATTGTAAATTTTATCTGTACTCACCTGAGATTCTGATTTCTGACGCTTGAATTCATTTTGGGTATCATTATTTGGCAACCTTAACAATATGTTTGTACGAGGAATTTAAGGAATTTAAAATCTTGGTATTTGAATTACTTTGATTTTAATTTTTATCATTCTTAAAATATTTTGTTTGGATAAGTCAATTCAAATTTTTAAAATTTTAAATTGTTAGTTTGGATATGATAATTTAATTTTATTATGATAATTGATTTTAAAAATATATTTGTATGTTGAGATTTTTAAATAAGATTTTATAAAAATAAATATTTGTCAATTTTTAAATATTTAATAATTTTAAAAATTAATATTAGATAATATTTAATAATTTTAAAAATATTTTTAAATATTTAATAATTAAAAATATGAAGAGATAAGAAACAAGATAAAATATATAAGTGAAATAAGAAAAAAAAATGAGAAATTTCAAATTCTTACTTTTTTGAGAGAATTTGAAATTTTACTATTTCAAAGAATTTTACAAATACTTGAATTTCAAATTCTTTATAAATTCTCTATTTAAATAAGGTATTTCACTTCAAAAAATTTGAAATTCTTCAAATAAATAAATTATTTCATTTAAATTTTTCATCTAAAAACACTATAAAACACTATAAAGCTTACGTGTTTGATATTATGAAACTTTTGCATTCTAGTTTAGGATATATGTCAAAACCAGACTCTGGAAGTATGATGGATGCTTAAGTTGGTTTATATTCCCAATTTTGATAATGCCATTTCGTCCCAATAGCAGGTTCATGCTACATAACAAATTCACGTTGTTAACTCTTGGGAGCCATCAGATTTTGGGACAATTTCCTCGATCTGTTCAAAACATGTTTCTTATTTTTTTTGGTCAACTTTCCAAATATGTTTTAAATGCTCCAATTTTTTGTTGTTATAAGTGTAGCCCATATAGCCGACTGTATTTGTTCATAGTTTAAACTGTATTGTATGATAAACTTGCAAGAAAAAAGTACGTGTAATATATCAGACAATAAGAAATAAAAAACCGGAACAGAACATTTTTGTTTCATGGGAACACATTCTACGGAAAGATTGCAAACAAATAATAATTTTTTTAATTATAAGAAATATATATACTTTTAAATGTACTATTATTAGTTTCTGAAAGGGGGTTTTCAGAAAGAAAGAGAAGAAAATCAGAAAAAGGGATATCAGAAAGAAAGATGTGACAGTTACGTAAAAATTCTCATTACCCTTTGTGCTTAATTCATGGTGCTATATATGCACCTTACGTACAATGCGACAAAAGAAAAAAGGAATAAAAGTTTGTTAACCCTGTCCTGCATACAATAACCGAATTGCCCATTGAATAATATGCAGCCACTAATTCATTCAGTCACGTAGTCGTCTAGGTGAGGTGGTTTGTTACGGATCCTTTGGGGTCTTCCATAAGTAATAACTTCCTCCTGCACACTTAATGGGTCTGGTGGGTCATACTGGGAAATGGGCCTAACACCTCCTCCTGGTTCGAGAGTCGCCTTATCCTCAAGGTGGAATTGAGCTTTAATTTGAGACCACGGCTCCCAACTGGTCTCTTCTAGGGGAAACCCCTGCCACTGAATCAAGACAAGTTGCTGAGGGTCATCAGGATCATTCGAAAGCTTCCAGTTCAAAATGGCTGCAGGTTCCAGTATGGGTTGGTTGTCCTCTATGTCCGGAGGTAAGCTAAGGGGCTGAGGTGATGGTGGAGGACCCAAATGAGGGCAAAAGTAGACTGATGTGGAAGACATTATGAATGCGTGCAGTTGGTGGCAGGTCAAGCTTGTAGGCAACATTGCCAACCTTCTCCAAGACTTTGAAAGGACTAAAGTACCTCTTCTGCAGCTTACTAAGGTAGGGACCAGTGACTGAGGCTTGGCGACGAGGGCGGAGGCGGACATAAACCAAGTCACCAATATCAAAATGAAGATCGCGGCGACAAGTATCTGCCCATCTTTTCATGGCCTCTTGTGCCTTGTGGAGATTAGAGTGCAACTTACGCAGAATCGCATCCCTAGTAGTAACCTCGGAATGGGCTGCAACATTAAGTGAGTCCCCTATCAAATTCTGTGGAATGTTAGGAGGGGGGTGACCAAACATTGCTTCAAATGGTGTGAGGCCCGTAGAGCTTTTCACAGTGGTGTTGAAACACCATTCAGCCCACGGCAGCAGTTTGCCCCACAAGGAAGGACGATGATGCACAAAGCTCCTCAAGTATTGTTGTAGGATTTTGTTAGCCACCTTTGTTTGGCCATCCGTTTGAGGATGATAGGCGGTAGACATATGCAACTTAGTGCCGCTCAGACGAAATAATTCGCGCCAGAATTGACTAAAAAATATAGGATCCCGATCCAAAATTAAGCTGCGAGGAAAACCATGAAGTTTGCACACCATGGGGATTGTTTTATGAATTTGGTATTTATAGATAACACTAGAAAGTCCTTCAAAATCTCTCTCACATAACAATCCTTTAAAATCCTTATATTTTTTGAATACCAAAGGATTGTTTTTAAGCTGTATAAAATCCAGTGACAAATCTTCCCAGCAGCGCTCTGGTGTTGGGATAGGTTGCAGTAGCCCTGGAGGGCGTCGAGTTGGTGTCTTTGTCTGCTGACATGTAGTGCATTGAGAGACAAAAGCGTGGACATCCTTCCGCATGTTAGCCCAATAGAAATTGGCCTGCAACTTGCTCAAAATGCGACTCACACCGAGGTGTGTATAAAATCCAGTGACAAATCTTCCCAGCAGCGCTCTGGTGTTGGGATAGGTTGCAGTAGCCCTGGAGGGCGTCGAGTTGGTGTCTTTGTCTGCTGACATGTAGTGCATTGAGAGACAAAAGCGTGGACATCCTTCCGCATGTTAGCCCAATAGAAATTGGCCTGCAACTTGCTCAAAATGCGACTCACACCGAGGTGTGTGACACCCTCTACCCCAACATAAATACAATAGATATTTCCGATCTCTCTACCAGAGAACCTCAAGTATTCTTACTTGGAGGATGATGAGAAGTTGCCAGCGATCATTTCCACCTCCCTTGATGCTGTTCAAGAGGAGAAATTGTTGCACGTTCTGAAAAAGCATAAGAAAGCCATCGGTTGGACCCTGGCGGACATTCCTGGTATCAGCACATCCACTTGCATGCATAGGATACTCTTAGAGGATGGAGTTAAACCATTTAGACAGCCCTAGAGGCGACTCAACCCTGTCATTTTGGATGTAGTGAAGAAGGAGGTGACCAAGCTTCTTCAAGTTGGAATCATTTATCCTATATCAGATAGTCAATGGGTGAGTCCGGTCCAGGTGGTCCCCAAGAAGACAGGCCTCACTATTGTGAAAAATGAGAGGGATGAGCTCATTCCCACTAGAGTGCAAAATAGTTTAAGGGTCTGCATCGACTACCGAAGGCTAAATCAAGCAACCAGGAAAGATCATTTTTCGCTGCCTTTCATTAACCAGATGCTTGAGCGTCTGGCAGGTAAATCTCACTACTACTTTCTTGATGGTTTTTCTGGTTATTTTCAAATCCATATTGCTCTTGAGGATCAAGAGAAAACCATATTCACCTGCCCCTTTGGCACTTTTGCCTATAGGAGGATGCCCTTTGGCCTCTGGAATGCCCCTGGTACCTTCTAGCGGTGCATGCTTAGTATCTGTTCTGATTTTCTTGAAAATTGCATAGAGGTGTTTATGGATGATTTCACTGTATATGGATCCTCTTTTGATACATGCTTAGATAATTTGGATAGAGTGCTTAATAGATGCATTGAAACTGATCTTGTTCTGAATTTTGAAAAATGTCACTTCATGGTAGAACGGGGTATAGTTTTGGGGCATATTATTTCTAGTAAGGGCATAGAAGTAGATCCTGCGAAAGTCTCAATTATTTCACAGTTTCCTTACCCCTCTTGCGTGCGAGAGGTTCGATCTTTTCTTGGCCATGCAGGTTTCTACAGGCACTTTGTCA